AGTCGTTTTTGAAATGCGGCATAAATTGAAGCATTGATTTCGTGGCTCGTCCGCGTCCTGTGTCTCGGGCTGGTATTTTGCATGTCGAATGACGGGCGTGTTCGCTGGCCATGGGTTCGCCATGATGGGTTGCGCGGATAATGCCCACCGCCAAACCCTCAGTTTACGAGAATCAGCCCCTCTTCTGGTGATATCTCTACTCAGCAAAAGCCGGTATTAATCCGATCATTGACTGTCACGTTTTCTTAGAGCACATGGTTCCGCTGTCTCTTCTCGCCGAATGCGCTTCAGTCAATAAAGAAACAGTCTCTTCTTCGCATCTGCCACAACCCAAGCCAGACCTTCTTGTAGATTGTTTCCTGTCATGGCACTGCACCGCAGAATATGCCATTGATGGGAACGAATGTCATCCAACTGCAATGCCTGTGGAACAGAGATCAGCACGGTGATTGTTTTTTTTTTCTTTCTCAAGGGTCTTACAGGGCCAACAATAACGTTAACGTCCGCCCACAGCTGCCGGGTTGTCTTACCACTCTAATCTCTTGCTCGTCCATGCATCCCTCAACATCAGTTTTGTTGGAGAAGATGAGCAGGCTTGCGCCTGAAAGGCGCTGCAAGACCCATCAGCACCACGTCTTGCACGTAGACCCGTGAACAAAAAGAGCATCACTAACGCATTGCAACGTACCTCTTCTAATAGTAGTCCGTGGAGCTCCTCTCTGCAATCTTGCGTTCTGAGACGATCGGTGGCATCAACGACCCAGATTAAAGCGTCCGTCTTCTCAAAGTAATTCCGCCAGTATGAACGCAGCGTCTTTTGGCCACCCACGTCCCCTGTTCTTGTCAGTAATTGCTTGTGTCCCAAAAAAAAAAGAATAAAGGGGGGTACTCACAAATGTTCAATTTGTACCTAAAAGATGATGTAGTAAGCAGATGTCTGTTCAGCGAAATAGATCGTCAAACCTACCCGTCGTAGTCGATGGTCTTGATAATGAAACCGAGTGTTGGGCTGACCGTGTGGACGTCCTCGCCCATAATCTTCTTCACTATAGTGGTCTTCCCGGCATTGTCAAGACCTCTTGATATCTTGATCAGCTAGAATGACCTTTTACTTTCGAAAGCAAGGGCGCATGGCGTTGTGTAGAGGGGCCAACGCACAGCATCAATATTCTCATTTCCTTGTCTTTGAGGCGAGCTTTCCGCAGGATGGACAACATCGCGACTAGTGGGCGCTGCTGAAGCTCGAAATCCCACTAGATAGTCATGGACAAGTGCCGACTTCACTTCTATCTCGTGATGTACTTTCCGACGTGGCGCATGGGTTGCGATAGCTATAGTTCGTGTCAAAAGCCGAGAGCGCATGATGGAGCACACGTGATGGGCTTTGGCTGGGCTGGCACGCACCGACTGGAACGCCAGCTTGAGACCTCACCGCTAAGCTCTAGAGACGAGACTATGCACTCGACTGCCCTCAATCACTTGTGACTTGACGCAGCCCGGCATTTGCCCAGCGCGGTACAAATAGACCGACGAGTTGCAACACACAAGCAGTCCTGAATGCTCGGGTATTGAGCTGAGTGGCCTGCACACGCGTCCATTCAGTAATCACCAGCACGGCAGTCGCTCCGAGAGTCTAAATCTTTTTTGCATTCAGTTGACGTGCTCCGCTACTTGTGTCTGAAATTCCGTCGATGCCACAACTTCGTCTCACTGTATATCTTCTTCACCAAATCCAAATGACTGGCCGTCAAATCGTAACGAAATACAACCATATATATCGAGCTATACATTGCGTATTTGTTTCATTTTCTCTTGTGTCCCCTTCTAAGTCTCGCAACTCAACTTCAATAGATCCGATCATTCATCTACTCATCAACTGACGACAATATCGCAATATCCACAAAGAATGGGGCATCTCCTTCGGTCTGTCAAAGCTCTCCTTCCGGCTGTCTGGACGCAGCACCATCGTTTAGTTCATTCATATGTTATTGAGCCATCAACGTCCATAAATCGGTTTGCGCACTTCTTATGCTGTACACCACCCGCCGATGACGTTTGAAGTCGGTGTGATACCACGTGCCCAAGTCACCAGGTCTGACCAATGCATGTGTCCTGGATCATCTCCAGTGACTAATACATTTTTGAGGCGGCCGACTTCTTCAAAGCCAAATTTCTTCAAGAAATGGATCCTCGACTCAGAAGGTTCCGCCTTGTCGCGTGATTCAAGCACTTCGACATGAAGAAGCGTGTACTGCCGCAGATTGTGACTGGCGGGAAATTCGTAAATGCCGTCGGGCTCGTTCTTGTTGCGACTCCAGTCATGGTCGACGACGCTGGTGTGTAGTGGCGATATGGATATCAAAATTCGGTCTAGCAGTGCCGAGCCATACAATTTGCCCCGATGGTCCGGATGTACTATTAAATTCAGACGTCCCGAATAGAAAGTTCCTGGGCAAGCAAGATTGTCGAGGCCGAGCTCAGGGTTTCCGATAAACGCAAACCCGACCAGGGACTTAATGGGTCTTGGGTGCTTTGCCATGAACCGAGCGAACTCTTGATAAATAGTTTCGGATTGATTCGGCCACTTTGACCGGTCTAGGAAATCTTCTTCGTTCGGCGTGACGACAATGAAAGGCCTGTTGTTAACCCGACATTCGTCCCAGACACGAGCCACATCCTCAGCATGCATTAAAGGGCTCTGAATTTCTTGTGATTTGATGGCCCGCTTAGAATGCTCATTGACTATTTTCGCAATAGCCGGAAAGTCAAGCTGATTTGCTGGGCGCACAGTGCAGTTCGCCTTGGGCCAATTCCGACCGGACTCGCTCGTGAGATCGAAACAATTAGCTTCGTGATTGACGGCCATTTGAAGTCTCGTGGCTATGTTCTCACGGCTTCGAAGCTCTTTCATTATGTATAGTTCGCTCGTCATATTGCTCTGTCGCCATAAAATGTCATGATAGCCCTCACAAGGTCCCTCCTTCGCACACCGGAGAGTTTCGGGCTGAAGGATGGGCGCGAGGAACGTGCCCGTCTCAGGATCTATGTCACAACGACTGCTGACTAGGTCGCTGAGTTTATGAAGGGGAATCAATATGGATGGAGAAGTGAAATGCTTGACAAGCCATGACTTGACTGTGTCTTGATGATGCAGCACTACATCGTCTCCCAAATTATCATAGATCACTTCTCTAGTTGCGCAATCTGCGTTCCCGGAATCACTCCTATTCGGAAAGGCTTGCGGGAAAGTTGGGCCGAACGTGATAATCTTGTCAGTATTGTCTGAATCGCAATTACTGCTGATGGACCAGCTTTTACCCCTCAGAGAAGCTTTCGTTTGCAGGCTGATGGGAGAAGGTACTGTCGCTTGAATTACACCCAGTGGTCTGGACATGTGTCCTTCTAAAGGTCTCGATGATGAGCTTTTCACTGCCGAGATAGGATCAGAGATGCTTTCGGGGCTGTGCTCAGCAGCTTCCAAGATGACGGACAATGATGAAGCATTTCTTTCCGGAACGATGGTTGAGGCTGAGACGATTTGAACCCTTCCTGGTGCCGGCATTTCTCTAGTAGGTTTATTTTCTGGCTCTTCATGGTGCTCTAAGGGGCCAGTTTCAACGTTCACCGTATCTTTGTCTTTCCGTCTTGGAATGTCAGATCCTCCGGTACTGGCATCATTCTGGGTGGATGATTCGTGACTGCTTTCTTCCACTGCAATTTCTGCAGTTGATGAACTGGACCGCCGAATATGAGAAGATGTGTCGATTCTTCGAGCATGAGGCGGCTGGGAAATCCACGATTTCATGTCTTTGCAGATTTTAGAAAATTTCTCTTGATTTCCAAGAGGCGTGCTGGGTGAACTTCTTGCCGTGGGTGAAGCCATTTCAAGGCGCGCAGAAGTGAATAATGCTCTGTAGAGTTACCGGCTGATGTGAATATAGAGATGCGCTTGCTTATATTTGTGTTTCGAAGCGGCTCTTTTAAATCGTGAAGGCCGGACTCTGGTTGCCCGAGTGCTTGAAGACAATGGAGTCCACAATAGCAGACGCCAGAACGAAAAAAGAGGTGAAAAGACGAGAAGCCTGAATTCACAATTGAATAGGCGCCCTCGAATGCATCAAACTATTGTGAGCTTTGAAGGATATTCCGCAGCTGTCCGGCCCGCACCTGCTGTCAGCTGGCAAGGGCTGGTAAAAGCTGGTAACAGCTGATAAAAGCTGGCAAGAGCTGCTGGTCAAGCTCACCACCGGACACCTTTATCTCTGCTTTCACGAGATACCTTGGCATCGACATTAAAATAATTTTATGGCCCGCCAATTCTCCGGGAGGATGGACATCCAAACAATACCTATGAACCTGTCCACGGTTCCAGCGCTTCGAGATGGTTCGCCATCAAATACCAACTCCACGAGATAAAGTCCAGCAATATAATACAATGGCACAATGTTATAACTCGGTTCAGACACTCAAGACCGTGGGTAACTGGAAACCCTGATGTCTGATAAGTTGTGTCGCACGGTATATAGGGGGGTCTAACGTACATTACTAGTGTGATGTGCACATCCGCTGTTTTGTGCGATAAGTTGACTAACGTAATCTTTGCCTTGCTCTTTAGCTATGTTTTATCATGGCAAGTTTTGTAACAATATGTTTATAAGGATGCCTCTTTTTCTGTGAGATTGCGAAAACTAAGAAGGCCTAGACAAGATTCTACTGTGCTTCGCTCAGGTCCACTTCACTGTCCTTAACTTGATCCCGAAATTTTGGTGACATTTTTGAAAGAACTTTTGGAAAATGTGACTAATCTGCTTCCTATAATAAAAAAGGCCTTCTTGCAAAGGATACAAAGTCCTAAACATTTCTGTGGAAAACACAGAGGTGTGGTCGCTCCGTGCTAATTGCATTCGGCCTCGTCTATGTCCATGCGACGAAACATCCTTACCGGTTGGAGATCAACGCTGTAGGGTACATGTAGCGTATTAAGTCGCAAACTTCCCATCGGCCGCGTGGCCTAATGGCTAAGGCGCTAGATTTCGGTTCCCCATTTCGACCGTACTCTCTAGAGATTCCAGGTTCGACTCCTGGCGTGGTCGTGTTCTGCATCAAGATTTGGGATCATTCTTTTTTATTCATGATTCTGAACTCTCACCTGGTATCTTTTTTTTTTGTCGCGGACTGACTGTATTAGTTTTTGTTCCGCATGCCGTGTTCCGGTCGATATCTCGTCTGCTGACTGTCACTCACTTCCGAATGGTTGAAGGCAACCTTCGACGCACAAACTCTTGCTTTGCTCGGTCGAAGCTGTTTCACTTCAGCTGTCATCTGCAATCCCATCACACGGAAAGCAAATGTTCCTGAAACTGTCGCCTACACTACCCTATCGAGGCGTGTTCTACTAGCTTGAGCAATCGAATATCTCTAGTCATGCTACCTACTCTCTTCACTTTTCTTGCGATACGTCCGGATCATTTTTATAGGCTCTAACAATCGAGATTTCGCACGAAGAGAAAAAACCATGAGCAAGGATCTTACCTGATTGGAGAAACTCTATTCGCAGACATGAACAACTTGTTGTTGCATGTACACCTCTTGACGCAGGTGCGAGTACAAGATCTTGTATGACATGATTGTCTTGCTGCAGCTCCCAGCCGAGATGTCGATCAATCATGAACCAGCTTGACTGGCCAGCAACCCCTCGTAGAACATTCTACTGCGTGGTACTGTTGCAGGAGCCTGGGAGCACCCTCGGTCGTGTTCTCCAGATGGTGCACAAACAAATCAGAGGCATCGTCGAGCTGTCATACTTCGGCTGCAGGTCCCTCGCTGCGCGACCCTGTCTCGGTCCGTGATGTGGTTCTACGGACGAAAAAGAAAGAATTGAATGTGGAAACAATCAAGGCTTGGTATACTGCAGACAAGCCGAGGTTTAAAAATGAAGACATTTGCCTTCATGAATCGGCAGTGTACATACATCACATTGCTCACAGCAAAGCACGCATCTTTACAACAACTAAGAACTACTCAGCAATTCTTGAGGCTCCTTGACAAGATGATCAAAACATTTCTTCTTCGTGCCAATATTTTTGTTGCCCTCACGCTTCCAGGCGGCATGGCTCAGGAACTGCAACCAAGATCGGCATTGTACCCGCGAAGCACTCTCGTACTAGGGAAGATATGCAAGTCGCTGCGACACGATTGTGGTTTGGATGACTTACCCTCGGACATTGAAGTATGGAGCCAAGTATCACTTTTGCAAGAAGGCTTCCATATTGACATTTTTTCGAGAAACTATGCTCACAGTCTTGCGAAACGGCTATTGATGACAAAGACTTGAAAGGTGCTTTGTGTGATCCTTTCAAAAAGGTATTATCCTACTAAACTTTCTTCACGCCGAATCGAGAGCTTCAACGGCTTCTCAATCTAACTTCAAACAGTACATCGATAGCCTTGGCGAATGTGCCAACAGCGCTCATATTGTGGTTGAGATGCAGTGCAAGGAACAATGCGGAGGATGCTCCACGGACGATGACTGCGGCAAGAGCCAGGTTTGCGAGAATCATATGTGTAAGGACGTTGTCGCTTGCCAGCATAATAGTGAGTGCAACGGTCAAGTATGCAAAAGCAACCAATGCGAGGCCTGCACAGCCAATTCAGACTGTGGCGGCGATAATCTGGAATGCGTTCAGGGGCTATGCGTCCCGACCACGAATCCTCCACCAGAATGCACCAAGAACTCGGACTGCAAGGCTACGCAGATCTGCAAGGAGCAGAAATGCAGCCCTTGCTCGGTTGATGCTGACTGCGGCCCCGAACAGCTGTGTGGGGATGGAGAATGCAAGCCGAAACCACCTACTTGCGGACAACCTGGCTTCGAATGGGCACAATGGCGAGGACCCCGAACTTGGAGACACGTCAAGTCACCGCCATTTGCAGAGTATGATCCTACCTCTTTCACGAGCCGGATCCCAGAACACGATGGACGAACCAACAGCTTGCTCATCAACGACACCAGGAGCCTCTATGGTCAGTCCTTGAACACGAACCTGGCCTGTGTCATCCACCAAGGGTTTCTCCTGGCGCCTGAGACGGGGAACTACACCTTTACCTTTGGACAGGCAGATGACATCACTCTTGTCTGGCTGGGACAAAACGCCTACAGCGGTTGGAACCGAGCCAATGCAGACATTGAGCGGACCTACATCCCTCCTCCTGGTGATGAAACCCAAACAGTGAGGCACCTTGAGAAAGGGACGTACTACCCCGTACGGATCGCCTTTGGTGACAAGGGCGGCAATGTTGCCATGTCTGTGAAGATAGCTGCGCCAAATGGTACGGAGTTGACGGGCCAGGATGGTGGTTATTTCAGAACCGAGGCCTGCGACGGTTCCTACGGGAAATTTCCAGCATACGGGCCAGCTTGAAGGTGTGAGGCGACTAGAGAGAGAAGATGAATTGTGTGATGCTTGACCGTGCCTGCCAGTGGCGCGGGTCTTTGAAGTGCCAGACTCAACATAATCAGATGTCATGCAAGACTATCCAAACATGGCAGCGGAATCGAGTGTAGAGCTGTTTTCATGTAACTCGTTCCTATTAGTACTTCTTCCTGTTCGTTGAGTCGAGTAATGTGTCCCATCCGTTTGGGTAAGAAAAGAATATGAACAAAATCGAAACAGAAAAGGCGTCGAGCTGCATTGCGTGGAGTGATGGAGTGAGCGAGTGGTGCCCGTCAGAACGTCGGAACGCGTCCGTCTGAGGAACGTCCCCCACATGCGGCCACCTGTTACATCCTGATTGGTCAGGATGTATAGAAGTGGAGACATAGGCATATTTATTAGTCAAGGGAATCATGACATAGACTTAGCTAGAACAAGAACCCAATCTATCTTATTCTACCCAATTGCTATTGGTTATATTTCACACCTGACTGACACCTAACTGACACCTGACAGCTTTAAACGGCCGCTAGGTGCTGCCGTCTGGTCCCGCCCCGTTCCAGCGCCTTTCAATGTTAGGACAGCTTGACATGTGGGACCCGCATTGTAATCCAGACCTGAGCCCTCCAGTCATCTGACCCCTCATATTATCTGACCCTGTTAGGACTAGGGTAGCTAGGCAAAGGTAATAGGCATATAGTATATTAACTAAAGCTTACTTCCTCTAAGTTATATATAGTAATGGCTATGCTCTATATAGTTTATAGTAAAGTATAAGCAAGTTATATATATATAGCTATTATAGTAGGTTATATATAAGGTTATTGCCTAATAGTTATATATATATAAAGCTATAATATATATATATATATTATAAGGCTCCTTATAATTACCCCCCCTTTTATAGTTACTATCCCTAGTAATAATATACTTATTAGTTAATTAATAGTTATTAACTAGTTTTACTATATTAATAAGAGTTAAAATAATAATAATACTATATATATAGCCTAACTATAAAGACTATACCTTTTTCTTAGCTTTTTATTATATTTTCCTTCCTTTTTATTATTATTATTACTATTATTACTATTATTAATATTACTATTATTATTACTATATATTCCCTTATTTTCTCTATTAAAATACTATTATATTTATAAATATTAAGCTTTATTTATACTATTACCTTTACTATATCTATACTATATATAATAACTTTAAAAAATACCTACTATTTAATATTAAACTAATATAGTTAGCCTATAAGTTTCTTATTAATTTATTTATAAGTAGTAAAGTTTATACTATAAAATAGTATAAATAATATACTATATACTTAAATTTATATAAGCTAATATATATAATATCTATAATATTATAGGTTATTTACTAATAGTTTATAGCCTTTACTTATAATAATAAGTAACTAAACTACTACTCTTAAGGTATATAACTAGCTAAAAATACTAGTTTAGGCCTTTACTAGTATAGTAGCTAGTAAGGCTAGCGCTAAGACACTAGTTTATATTTTTTATAATAATATATACTATAAGATTATATACTTATTGCTTATATTGCTATATAGCTTTAACTATGCTAACTAAGCTTACTAGGTAGCCTTTACCTTAATTAGCTTAGCTAAGTTATTTATTATAGGTATTTTTGCCTATGTATTGTCTTAATTTCGCTGACTTTTGGGCTCAGGACGCGCGGGCGGCGTACTGTTTGGCTTGTTCCTTAGTAGCGTTTGTGTGAGTGTTATTTTGTATAGGGGCGGCGTTCTATTGTGTCTCTTTCTTTTTTTTAATGTAGAATATAATGTTTTTAAGTAGCAAAATACCTATATATTACTAGCTTATTATAATTTATAACTTATCTTTACTACTTTTTTCTTATATACTATAATAAGTTTTAATATATATATATTTTCCTTAGCTACCTACTAATTATATTTACTTAGCTATCCCTTTTATTTTACTAAGTAGTAAGTACCTTTTTATATTTTCTTCTTATTTTAAATATTATTTAGCTTATACTCCTTATTCTAGTTTTCTAGGTTTAGTAATACTATTTATTTACTACCTTTTACTTATTATTTCTATAGCTTTAAAAGGGAGATATAGAAAATATTATATAATTATATATACTTATTTAGAAGTTCTAGCTAGTATGCCTATTTGCCTATAGTATTTAGTATATAGAATAGTCCTATAAACTAGGGGTTTAGCTTCTTCTTTGCATTCTTTATCTAAATGTTCTTTGCTAAGAGCATAAGTGTTTAAACGACTTAACAATAGCGAATAGTTCTTAATCCACTATATTATAGTTATATTCTATATTAGTAAACTTTTAAAACTAAAAGACAACTAGGTAATAGTAGCTATTATTATTAGGTTATAAAATTGTTGGAATTGCTATATAATCCGGGCTAACTAACAATGCCCGGAACCACTAGGAATGACTAGATTCTACTATAGAGTGACCTAGGAATCTAGCATATCTAATTAGTTAATTAAAATGCAGAGTTTTTACTACCTTAAGCGGTATTTCTAATAGCATTTTATAAGGCCTTCTATAGCTATAAAAAGCTTTATTAAATACTATAGATTATTATAGAAATTAGACCTTTTTATAATAATTATAGCCCTACCTAGTAA